CCTTAGCCACTTGAGCCACAGGCGCCAAGCCAAGAGAATCTCTTGAACCCAAGAGTTTGAGGTTGCTGTGAGCTATGACGCCACAGCACTCTATCGAAGACGACAAAGTGGGTCTCACTATATTTCCCAGTCTAGAGTCCAAAGGCATAATCATAGCTCACAGCAGCCTTGAACTCCTGGGCACAAGTGATTCTCCCACCTTAGCCTTTTGAGTAGCTAGGACTAATTTTTAACAAAATATTTTTAGAGATGGGGTCTTGCTGTGTTGCCCAGGCTGGTCTTGAACTCCTGGCCTCAACTGATCCTCCTGCCTCAAATTCCTAACTTGCTGGAATACAGGAGTGTACCACTGTACCCTGCTATCTGAGGTCATCTTAAATGGAAGCAAACAAGAGTAACAGTAGCAGGTACAAATGTCTAAAACCACATCTGCATCATCATGTGTATGTACACATAAGTCTGGTACACAAAGCACTCCCTCTGGGAGTGAGGCTGGGAGGGTAAAAGACAGGGTTACCTTTTATAAAATTGATTTGACAAATAATTGAGTTAAAGGTAACTGTGATGGTTTTAAAGGATGTCTGCCAATTCTTTAGTACTCCTCTTACCTAGCAGTGGAGTCCAACTCTCCTCCCTTCCATTACAGGGCAGCCTTGACTCCTGATGAACAAAGCATGACTTCTAAGGATCTGACAGGCTAATGGCCTCCACCTGCTACTCACATTGTGATTCTTATCTTAGAAACCATGAGGTCTCTGCTGACAGTCAGCAGCAACCCTAGACCTGTGAGTGACCCAGCCTTCAATATGAACATGCCACCAGCTGACCAAACACCATGGGTGACTCTGAGCGAGAACTACCAGCTGAGCTCCAGCAAGCCCAAGGCACTGAAAGGTGATAATAATAAACAATCACAGTTAAATGCCGCTATGTCTGACATTCTGTTATACAGAGGTCAAAAGTTTGGACAGTGATTTTTACTGTATTTTTCAGTATTAGAAATCATTCATTTGTTTAATCTCAAACCCTTCCCTTGCACCTGTCCAGACAATGGATGCAGAACCTCAGTGGTTCAGTAGCACATCCTGGGAAGAAAGATGCTGAGGTAGTAGCCATCTGTAATCACTGAAAAGAAGTTTATTGTTTATTGTTGTACTATGCAAAACTAATTTGCTTAAAACATCTCCTAGCCTCCTTAAAGGAACCCTAGTTGGAAGGAGGTTGCAGGTGGTATCTTAACCTTAGTAGTGGTTTCCGGTAAGCCATAGCTATAAAAATCGCTACAAAATGGGCTCCTTTGGGACAACACTCCGTGTTGGGGTCCTCAGTCTTTGCTGTTAGTTCGGCCCCCTGAGGGGTCTCTACACGTGCAATCTGATGTCACTGACCAATCTCAAGCTGGACACAGGTAAAGTAATAGGTGACTGGCTGGTGGGGTCTGCTTGGCCCCCACCCAGTGTGGAGGGTGGGCACTGGTCTCACTCCCCAGTCACCCTGGGGTGTACACTGCAGGTTGTCTCAGCATTCCCGAGGCCAGCCCAGCAACAGGCACGGTTTTTCCTGGGTTCCCTGTGTGCGCCATCACCTGGGCTCGAGGTGAGCTGGGGAGGCCACCAGGGCTCAGAGCTCTGGGTCCAAGAGTCCAGGGGTTCTTGTCCATGACATGGGTCACACCTGCCAGCTCACTGATGCTCTCGCCATGGTCTCTGTGGAGAGAGGAGGCATGAGCAAGGGGACGAACGGGGATAGGGGTTAACCCTAATTCCACAACTTCCCAGGTACCCAAGCCCCAGGCCTTCAGTGTGAACCTGGGGCAGACCACTGCTAAGAGTCAGAAGCTGCCCCACATCGTGGAACACACAGTGGCCACTACGTCTCCTTCCTGAGTCCTCGCTGCCATGAACTGGACTTCAGGTCCCTTACCCACACAACTAGGGGGTGGCCCAAGGGGTGGTTCAGGGGCTGCATACTTGCCTCCCCAAGGTGTGGGAAGGATGTTCTGAGACTTATTCGGAAGGTGTATAAACTGTTAAGAGCCCAGCTGCCTGACCAGGACTTGGAGACGTCCCAGGTGGAGAAGGGATGCTGAGAAGATGGACGTCAGGGGAGAAATCTTCCCTCCTGCCAGGCTGTCCTGTCCTGATCCTGAAGCTGGATCACCCATCTTTTACATTTTCAGTACTCTGTCTCTCAGTCCCAAACACAAACCAGGTCATTGTGTAGGCTGATCAGATCGTTGCCCAGCCTCCGTCTGCCAGGCCCTGCCCTATCTCTGGCCTCTACACGTAGTGCCCTCCTCTCCCCAGAGGCTGCCTGGCTGCTCCATCCTCTAGCCCTTTACTCATTTCTGCCTCCCCTAAGATGCTGTCCCTTTGCTTCCCCAGATGCAGGCTTCTCAGTCTCTTCACTGAGGTTAAAAGAGGTAATATTTGGAAGAGTCCAGTACTTAGCACACTGCCAATGCTGAGAAGTGTTTATGAAATAGAAGTAAGGTTAAGGGGCAAAACTGGCCTTGCTAAAGGCAATTTACCACTTTTTGAGAAGCCTGGGCCTTGCTTGAGGGGTGGGTGACCCCAGGATAGGCTGACACAGACGACTCTACCTCCACTGTGCTGTGCAGCCCCAGGCAGGAGCCACCTTTCCTAAGTCCCTCTCAAGCTGGGATATGCTCAGGGTCCCTGACATGTGGGAGAACTTGGTGGAGGAGCTCTGCCCTCAAAGGCCCCTCCTCCCCCTCATCATCCACTTCCTGCCTTTTGAGCTGACTATTAGAGTGGGCCCCGGCCAGCCTCCCCAGGCTAGCTCTACACCCGGCTCACATACTCCCTAGTGGAGGTGGATACGGTTCCCTACGCAGGTCTGTGACCATTCTTGAATGGATGGTGTATCTGACTACACACAGTACAAGAGCCTGATGTCTCACAGCTGGTGTCTAAAGGGCAGAAATGGGGCCCCAGACAGTACCCCAGGAGCCCCTCAGCCTCCAGCTCTACCTAGTGAATTCCCTGCAGCAGTAGCAGCTGCAGTCTTGTTTACCCTCATCCTGGACACCAAGCTGCCTTGAGAAACAGCCATTCCACTCCCCATTCCATAGGTTCTTTCCCAGTTATGACACAGGGTGATCTGGTCCCCAGGCTGTAATGGGGAGGGCGTATCGCAGGGCAGGGCAACAGACAACCAGCCTTGGAAGTCTGACTGTACAAAAAGAAACACATTAGCAAAACAGCTCCAGCAAAACTAAAATAAAAAGGAAAAGAGCCTAATAAATCTTCAGCCAAGTGACAGGTCAGGCTCTGTCCCATAACACACACAGAACTCCTGTTGGTTGTGAGAGAAACATTAGCAGGCAACTCAGCAGAGAAAATAAAATGACACTGGTGATCCCAGGTTTGGGGATAACATTCCTCCTCAGCATTAATCACGGAAATGCCAGCAAGAACTACCTGTGTAACGTACACTGGCTACATAAATAAATTCACGGAAACAAATTGTTAGCACTCACAGATGATGTGGTGGTTAAAACATGACTGAACTAACTTCTGCTGGAGCTCTCAAAGAATTTGGTTGAAAGAAAAATTTAGGGTATTGGCCTAAAAAAATTTGTTTCTGGGGTGGCACCTGTGGCTCAAAGGAGTAGGGCACCAGCCCCACATGCTGGAGGTGGCAGGTTCAAATCCAGCACCGGCCAAAAACTGCAAAAAAAAAAAAAAATTTGGTCCTGGGATCACCCCCAAGATGTTATCTCAGAAGACAAAAAAAGTATTAAGCACAAAGACATTGACCACTCCTGAGTGCTCAGTAAGAAACGCTGGAGACTTTGGGCAAATGAGACCTAAAGATGGAGATCTGGGGCTTTAGACCACCAAGTGAACTGGAAAGTGCTACTGTGTAGAAAAGGCTCCATGCACCGTCTCAGCTAATGCCTCACCGACATGATGCCCAACTGGAGCCCCAGGGAGGAGATGGGAAGTGGGTCCCTTCCCTGCAGATGTTCGCCAGAACCAGCATGGTGCATGTAACACAGGACCACATAGGTCATAACCTCCTGTGTCTCAATTTCCTTGTCTGCACAAAGACAAAAGCAGGAATAGCAGTAATGACAGTAACAACAGGATTCAGTGAACTCTCCACCTGGGCCTGGGCACACACTTAGACTCAGGTGATCGCAACAGTACAGGGAGATAAGCACTACCATGCTCTTTACTTTACGTGGGAGGAACTGAGACATGGAGTGGTTACAGTCACATAGCAAAACCACAAGAGCCAGGAGCAACTGTTTTGCTGCCTTGGAGGTAGGGATGGCCTAAAGAAACAGCAGGCAGCACCAGGCTCAGGGATGTCATCTCAATGCCTTCCCAGGCCCCAGTATCTAAGCTGCTCCCCACCCAGAGGAACAGGGCTTCCAGAGCAGTGGCCAACTCCAGGGCCAGGCACAGAAAGCACAAGATGGGCCTGGAACATCTTGTGCAAGGCAAGACATGCTCAAACAGCAACAAGGACTTATCAGAAGGACCCAAGCAGGGCTCCAGCTGCCAAAGCACAACAGGAGCCCACAAAAAGAGCACTTAGAAATCATGTAGGGGCAGGGTCACGGCAAGGCTCGGTGGAGCTGGTAATCACAGAGGACAAGGGGCAGGAGCAAGAAATCGATCACTATTTTACTTTTATGTATGTGTGAAATTTCCCAAAATAAAAGTTAAGAAAAGAAGGTCTATAAATTCACATTGATACTAAAGCAAAAAAACAAAATGGAAAGGAAGAAAAAAAACAAAATGCTCATCCTCATTCCTCATAGAAGAAATGTCAGAATCGCAATAGAGTCAGCAAAGTTACCTTTAACTCCTCAGGCAATAGCAAATCTGGAGCTAAGGCCAGGGGTCAGAGGTCGCAGAGGCAGCAGAGGCCCCTCAAAGGCCCCTTCTCCATGCCCTGACAGTGGAGGGAACTGGGGGACTCATCTCAGCCAAGACACCCCAATCCATGTGACCTGCAGAGGCAGCCTGACCTGTGTCTGTGGTCTGCACACACAGCACCATGCAACCCCTGCAAGAAATGCACAACTAGGCACAGTTGTGTGGAAACACCTGACAGAACCCAGATGGGGGTTTCTGTATGTAACCACTGGTCCAGAGCCCTCAGAAGGCCATGCCCATTCCAGTTTAAGGATCCCAGAGACCTGGCAGCTGAGTAATGCTCATGATCATGGACCAGAGGGTAGGAAGGTTCAGTGCTGATAACAACACTGAGAAGCCATATGCATCCAGGATTGGATCTCTGGAATTAGAAAAAGAATGTCCTTGTATTGCTTTGGGGGAGGAAATGTGTAAGAGAGAAAGAGAAGGGAAGAGAGAGTGAGTAACAGCTGAGCCTGCCAGGTCTGGGTGGAGAGAGCATGGGTCAATAGAAGCTTCAGCTTCCCTGCAGGATTCAATTCCCAAGATGAAAACACTGGTGAGGGCAGCTTTGAGTACTAAGATAGGACAGCTGTGAGTGCCAGGAGGGGACAGCTGTGAGTACTAGGAAAGGACAGCTGTGAGTACTAGGATGGGATAGCTGGAGTACTAGGAAAGGACAGCTGTGAGTACTAGGAAGGGATAGCTGGAGTACTAGGAAAGGACAGTTGTGAGTACTGGGAAGGGACTGCTGTACTAGGAAAGGACAGCTGTGAGTACAAGGATGGGACAGCTGTGAGTACTAGGAGGGGACAGCTGTGAGTACTATGAGAGGACAGCTGTGAGTACAATGATGGGACAGATGTGAGCACTATGAGATGACAGCTGCATTATGAGAGGACAGCTGTGAGTACTAGGATGGGACAGCTGTGAGTACTAGGGTGGGATAGCTGGAGTACTAGGAAAGGACAGCTGTGAGTACTAGGAAGGGACTGCTGTGAGTACTAGGATGGGACAGCTGTGAGTACTAGGAAAGGACAGCTGTGAGTACTAGGGTGGGATAGCTGGAGTACTAGGAAAGGACAGCTGTGAGTACTAGGAAGGGACTGCTGTACTAGGAAAGGACAGCTGTGAGTACTAGGATGGGACAGCTGTGAGTACTAGGATGGGACAGCTGTGAGTACTATGAGACGACAGCTGTATTATGAAAGGACAGCTGTGAGTACGAGGATGGGACATCTGTGAGTATTAGGATGGGACAACTCTGAGTACTATGAGAGGACAGCTGTGAGAACTAGGATGGGACAGCTGTGAGTACTATGAGAGGACAGCTGTGAGTACTAGGATGGGACAGCTGTGAGTACTGTGAGAGGACAGCTGTGAGTACTAGGATGTGACAGCTGTGAGTACTATGAGAACAGCTGTGAGTACTAGGATGGGACAGCTCTGAGTACTATGAGAGGACAGCTCTGAGTACTAGGAGGAAACAGCTATAAGTACTAAGAAAGGACAGCTGTGAGTATGAGGATGAGAAAGCTGTGAGTACTATGAGAGGACAGCTGTGAGTACAATGAGAGGACAGCTGTGAGTACTAGCATGGGACAGCTGTGAGTACTAGGATGGGACAATTCTGAGTACGATGAGAGGACAGCTGTGAGAACTAGGATGGGACAGCTGTGGGTACTAGGATGGAACAGCTCTGAGTACTATGATGGAACAGTTGTGAGTACTACAAGAAGACAGCTATGAGTACTAGGATATTATTTATTATTTATTTACTTATATAGTAATTTAGAATAGTATATTATAAAGTACCAGCTGTGAGTACTAGAATGGGACAGCTGTGAGTACTAAGATGGGATAGCTGGAGTACTAGGATGGGACAGCTATGAGTACTATGAGAGGACAGCTGTGAGTACTATGAGAGGACAGCTGTGAGTACTAGGATGGGACAGCTGTGCATACTAGGAGAAGACAGCTATGAGTACTATGAGAGGACAGCTGTGA